TAATTTCAAATAATAAGATTGTTGATAACTGGCCAAACCAAGACATTTAAAAAAAATAAAGAAGTAGTTTCAAATAAACCTACTACTGATTTACTGATAAATGTATTAGCAATAAATAATTTGAGCATCACTGCCACCTTTCTCGCAAGTGATCGCATACCGTCGTCGTTACTATATAAGAGACCTTTGAACTCTACTTCAGTAAGGAGTTCCCTCGTGTAACACTGCGGAGCTACAATCGGAGTCTTAGTGACTCTCATGCTCTGAGGAAAGTCCCTGGACATAAGGCAGAAATTGCCGCAGCGTTATCGCTGTAAGCTTACCGCCGTCTACTCGATCTGGACAGGACGCTTCGGCTGATCTTCGAGTATGGGTGGTAGTGTATTGGTCAAAGCAAAGTAATGTGTTTGGAGACGGAGTTCAATCCCGATCTTTCGGAGGAGGACTTATGTTCAACTCAACAGGGCTCACTACGAGGAAACTTCCTTCATTCTTTTACACTTCTCATTTAACCTAAATCTACTTCGAAACTGGATAGTACTTCGCAGTCTATTTTTGTAAATAATATACAACAACGTTTTTTGCTTTCTCATTTTATTGAAATTACATTCTTCGTTAAAAGTACTAAATGGATAATACTTTTGTAAGCACCATAAATTCAAAATGTTCGATCCTGAGATACACATAAGTACATTTAGCAAAAGCTATTCATTTGGTACAAAATGGTGAAATTTACATTGGGCGTAGAAAAACGTTTCGCTCAGAAGTTAGCCAAATGTTTCTAAATGCAGATCAGTAAGTCGCTTCGTTTTTATTATAAAAACACTGAAACACAAAATTAAACTTATTTCATTTTGTCTATTTTGAATATTCGTACGAGAAGGAACAATTTTTTAATACACTTACGTTCTTTGCAGTTTCTAACAAATTGTTCGCCATTACGTCACCCGTTTGTTGCACCATATTGTAAAAATATCCTTTCTTTTGTAATAGAATGTACGGATGATCAAATTCCTAAAACATATAATTAACGTTACAAGAAATACATACTATCAATCGCGATATAGACTACTAAAAAAAATTATGGTTTCATCTAACTATGGGATTGTCTAAATCGAATAATTTTTTTGAATAGTGTAAATTACGTACCACTAGATTACCCTGATCCATCACAAGTACTTTATCGCTGTCCATTATAGTATTTAATCTATGCGCTATAGTGAAGACGGTGCAATCCACAAACTTCTTCCTCACAGTCTTTTGGATCAAAGAATCTGTTTGTGGATCGACATTGGCAGTGGCTTCATCGAGAACCATGATTTTATTATTCCTAACGAGTGCCCGCACAAGACATAATAATTGACGTTGTCCGACGCTGAAGTTCGCTCCCTCTTCGGCTACCTTGGTGTTCAACCCCGCCGCTAGATCAGCAATCATTTCTTTGAATTCAACTTGTTCCAGCGCTTCCCATAAAACGGTGTCAGAGTATTCGTCGAACGGGTCCAGATTCCGTCGAAGGCTGCCCGCGAACAAAACCGGCTCCTGCGGTATAATACTGATTTTCGAACGGAAATCGTGCAACGCGATTTTATCCGTCGGTATACCATCAATAGTAATTTCTCCTTCGATATACGCCAAACGGAATAGTGCGCTAATTAACGATGTTTTTCCAGCACCGGTTCTCCCAACGACGCCCACCTTCTCCTTAGGACTAATCACAAAATTAATACCTTTCAAAACGTAAGCACTCTTAGGTCCGTACTTCAACCTGACGTCTTTGAATTCCACCAGGCCTTTCGTAGGCCATTCCTCCGGTGGTTTTTTATCAGGTGTGCCGTCCAGGAAAGGTTCTTCCTCCAGATTGCTGTACTCTACTACTCTCTCAACAGAGGTAATTTGATTCTCTAATTCTGCGGTTTGTCGCATGCCCCATTGCAAAGTACCAGTAATCGCGGTGAACTGTGTGATCACGAGGCCTATGTCCCCGACTACGGCCAGGTGATCGAATACCAAAAACGTAATCATGATAAACGCTATGTAAATCAAACAGAATACTTCGATGTAGAGGCCGAAGACTCGCGAGATGGTGATCAGTATGAACCACGTGGACGTGTGAGAATCTTGACGATTGTCGAACTCTGTAGTTACTATTTCTTGAGCGTTGAACGCTCTGATCGTCGTCAGACCTTGCAGCGTCGCGCCTAAGTGGTCGAACACCGGCGAACGTGCGATACCTTCCATACGTTTAACAGCGCGGCTGGTCGTGATGTACACGACTCTTAAAAAATAGAAAATTAGTATAATGACAGAAGTCGGTATCAGTAGCCACGGGCTCACCGTACCGACGATCACTATCGCGCTAGTGAATGTTAAGAGCATCATCATTACGTCGAACATCGTAAAAGGCATGTTCTTGTCGATTATACCGATGTCTTTCGAAAACCTATTTAATATCCGACCGGCGGGATTTGTATTATAAAAGTACATCACGGCGCGTATGATACTGCGGAACATCTGTGCGTGGAGATTCTTCGAAACTCGCATGCAAGCCCCGTAATACGTAAACGTTTGAATAACGTAAATGCAAACAAAGCCAAAAGTTAGGCCGCTATAGAGGTAAATGACTTGGTTACGAGTCAGTGGACTATTCCACTGAAATTCTTTTGTACCATTGTCGTTCTTCGTCCATGATGCCACTTCTGTGTTCACCCAGAACGCAACTAGGTAATCGCTACTGCTAGCCATCGTTTGGCATATTATAAATAAGAGCGGAACCATAAAAACTAGGAACACGTTTCTGCATGCCTTCCAGTAAGCAAAAAATGTAGCGAAAGAGATTTTTCCAAATGCCCTCGTTTCTGATGTGTCTTCAGGTTTCTGTTCTGGCACTACCTCTCCGTCCTCTTTTTGCGATTCGTCGATTGTTTTCCTCTTCTCGGCTTTGGTTTCGATCTCTTTAGCCATCGCCTTTCGGTCCTCTTCCTCTTGGAAGATTTTCATGAAATCTAGGTCCATGCTTTGAAGCTCCTCGAAGTTACCTATAGCTTGAATACTACCGTTGTTCATCACGATTATCTGATCGGCAGACTTTAAATACTGTATCTGGTGCGTGACTAGGATTCTAGTTTTGCCTTTCAGGAAGCCTAATATACACTCGTCGACGATGCTTTTACCAACGTGCGTGTCGACGGCTGACAAAGGATCGTCGAGGAGGTAAATGTCCGCGTCGGCGTATAATGCGCGAGCTAAATTGACTCTAGCCTTTTGACCACCGCTTAGATTGATCCCCCTTTCACCGACGATGGTCCCGTCTCTGTGTGCGAGTAATTCCAGATCGCGTTTCAATTGACAGACTCGGATTACTTCGTTGTAACGCACTTCGTTATATGGCTGGCCGAAGAGGATGTTCTGTCTGACGGTGGAAGCGAACAGCCATGGACGTTGATCAGCGAAGCTGACTCTTCCACTGGTTTCCAATACGCCTTCTGTTAATGGTAATTCACGGAGAATCGCTTGCAACAGGCTACTCTTGCCCGAGCCGATCTGACCGATCACTGCTATGAAGTCACCGGCTCGCACCTTCAAGTCGATGTTCTGTAAAGCGTAATCTCTGGTCTCGGACCATCTAGCACTGACGTTTTTTATGTAAATAGGATTCGATTGCGAAGCTACTTGGTTCGCGATCTTCTGCGGCTCGGAGATCTCGGCGTGCAACATGAATTTCTCGAGACGTCTAATAGACACCAAAGCTTCCGCCATTAGATGAACGCCTGCAGACAAAGACAGAAAATATGCTATTTAACAAAATTATGACATCACGAAAGTGTCAACTGCTCGAGTTTGAAAAATGATTGCTAATAATAAATAGCAAAAACATACGAAATGATTGTTGAGAAACAAACTTACTTAAAGGAAAGCCAGCAGTCATAGAACCTCGTAAGATATTATAAAACGATGTGGCCATAAATACTTTCTCAGCATCGATATATTGTCCAGTTAAAACGTATGTTAATATCGTAGTGAATAGGCTGACACGAGGAACGAAAATGTCGGTGGTTAAACCGATCTGCTCGATAATAGCATACTTCTTCAGCACATTTATCTCTTTCCTAGAGGAGATCGAATTATTGGTACTCTACCGTATTGTAGATGACCATATACTCGTATTGATTATTGTCTCACCCTCTAGCTTTTTCCACGAGGCGCGAGTACGGTATCTCCCAAACGTACATCTTGATTATTTCCACTCCAGCAATAATTTGATTCATTAAGCTTATCCTAGCGTCAGTCCTTTGCGCGCATGCATGTGTTAAGCGCGATATTTTTCTTCCAAAATACGCTAAACGATAAAACGAAGTTGTAGAAAGATTTATATATGGGTCGTTAAAATTTTATTGATACTTACTCTGCAGTGGTACGCATAATAAAAATACAGTCATCCCGGCGATGGCACCGATTCCGATTTCACGATATATAAGATACGTTATTAAAATCGTCTGAATCGGGCCGATCCACAAATAGTGAATAGTAAAGACAAAGTAATCCAGTCTGTTGACGTCGGTGCTCAAAAAATTGACGATCTGAAAATCGTGATTAAAATGTACCAACAGAATTTTAACTAAATAGATTAGTAGATTGTATGTAAATTCTTTTTATGAATCAAATTGAAGAAACGAGACGCACATAAACATTTGTTTTCTCTCTCTAATTATTATAAAATTTAATTCGTATTTCTTAAAATTCTTATAAATGCATGAACATTCGCAGACTATCGATTGGGTATTGATTCGTGCTGCATCGTACCTGTCCAGTAGATGTATCGTTCTCGAGAACGGAATTCGATAGTCTGAGTATTTTCCTATAAATTAAAGTGCAACAAGCCACTCGGACTTTCATTCCTACGTGCATTAAAGTTTGTAAAGACGCATGTAGGATTAAAGCGTCTAATAAAGGTAGAAGGCAGAATCCGGTGGCGTAGTAGTATATATCGTTGGTCCAGTCTTCTCTCATCCCTGAGAAGTAACGTAATAAAGTGGCAAGAAGGAATGGTTGTACGAGTCTGAAATGAAACACGATCTATTTTTCTCTATCACTGATACCCAAATTTTATTTAGCTTAAAAATCCGCAGTCTAGTTATTAAAGCCTCATTACGTCGGACGGGGGAAGCCAGTAAATCATTATTATTGTACCGTATTCCGAATTCCAGTATAAACAGCGCTATTCCAGTGCCGATGACTATTTTCCCAAAGCATTTGTAGAGTACTCTATTCAAGCTTGGCTTCGAGTTGTCCTTCCTCTTCTCGCATTGTTTCACCTCGATTTCCCAATTTTGGACAATACGCTCCCCCAGGTAGTTACTTCGGTCTACTCGTAACGGTGAATAGAGATCATCCTCTTGTAATTCTTTCTTGTACCCACGGACGAATAGTTTAAGTATCCACCTGTTTGTAAAGTAGGAAAATCATGAAAGGTTTCACAGTAAATCTATTATGCGTCATCATATGATTAGTTTCATTAAAATTCTTCAAAAATCTTTAAAAAGATATATTTAAATTCTTTTATAGAAAATAAAAAGGAAGTTCTGTCGTATTGTTCCATTTTTAATCATTATTTAAGATGGGGGTAGATTAAAGTATCAGTGCTAAAATTAAACTGCACTCAAATGTAAAATATACAAATATAAATATATAGATAGAGTGATACGAATGTGTATTGTAGTTCTTATCAAAGTTACGTCGACCTACTCCCTTGCCGTATAAAAAGACTTACAAATATAGCACATTAGTTTACAAATACTATCGGCAGATAGATAAATATGCGAAGTAATTATACAAATATGTCAGATTATTTTAGTAGGTTTAGTGTTAATTAAAAGATAATCACCAAAAAGTAAGGATAGATATTGGGTTCGCATTCTGGCGCGGATTCTTTTTTTCTTTCCTCTGACTTTTATCCATTTTCGCAAACGCAGTCGTCTTTGGTCATCTCAGGCTGTTTCAGGAAGTTACGTTCTAATTAGCTGTTCGTCTCATTTCCTAAAATCAAACAATTAATGTGCAGATTTTCCCAAACGCAGATGCACTTCCAATAAGAAAAAAATCGTTCGTATAATTTTTATATAACTATTTCGTTCTCATTATAATTCAGTATTTACGGAAATGAAAGATTGAAAAATATTTTTAATAAAAACAGGGCATCTCAGCAAGGGCAGACTCGGTTGCCCGCGGGCAATTCAGTAGTGGGGGACCGGTTCCTCGTATGGTTAATCTTTTCGACGAAGCGAGATTTGACACTCCAATATACATTACAATGCATGATATACAGGGTATCTCAAAACTTGTGTAAGATATTGAAATGTGAAGTTCCTGGCGTAACTTTAAACACGTCGGACGTTCAAATCCGAGCCAACGCTCCTGATTCGGAGCTCGCGCCAATCGGGCGCTCTGATTGGTCGGGGTTTCTTTGTTAATAATTCCTCAACCATGCCTCGGACCACTTTTCCGCTAAGGAAAATGTTGTTTAAAATTACGTCAGGAACCTTCGATTTTAATATCTTACACTAGTTTTGGGATACCGTGTACATCCGCCGGATGTACATGCATACAGTATCCTGGCTCTCTGATGTCATCGGGGAGCTGTTGATCAGGAATCGAAGGATGCTGGTGGGAGTTGTAATATCTGAACAGTATTTGCACACGCAAGAAGAAAACCGAGTTACACTATCGTTTGATGCTGACAACCGGTATTTGCACCTATCATTTATCACTTTCTTATCAAATGATGTGACAAACTAAAGAGCTACTGATATGAGTAATACGATAAAAAGAAGAAGGCGGAAAAAAAATGAAGAACAATGTAGTAAATGAGAATTCTTTATACCGGAAATCATCTACTTAAAAAATCAAACACTCAAAATTAGATTCCACTGAATTGGAAGTGAAGAAAATATGTAAAGTGGAAGGAGAGGAAGTCGTTTCAGTTCGTACAACATAAAAATGGTACAAAAAGTTCAATGAAGGACTTTTATATTAAAATATATATTAATTATTTAACAATAAATATTAAATAATTTTTCAAAAGCTACAAGATGATAAATGTATGACATTTGTATATAAAATATCTTTATTAACATCAAAATATTATACAAATTTAAACACCTTTTGGTTCACCCTAATATTATAAACTGTTTAATTAAAAACCGTACTTTGTTCAGCAAAGTGTTGAAATCTCTTTAAGAATCAATTTCTTAACGCAGTTACAATAAGTATTTCCGACATAGTGATTATCAAGTAGAATGAAATAATTGGTGCTATACGACGAGCTTCTTATTTTTATTGTTCACCGAGATATTTGCATCATTTGTATTTGCGCATCAGTTGAACCAAACATATAGTGAAGTTCACTTAGATAGCCTTGAATAGCCCATATCACTTTTTTATACGACGTACGAAACTGTACAAAGTAACCCAGATATGTAATCGTACATAATTTATACATATATGTGCAATGATGAAATTTAGAGTTGTATTTCTCTGATCTATCACAAAGCATTGAAACCGATTTGAGTTGGATCTCGGTTAGAATTAGGGACCATGAATAGGTCTTCAAATAAAAAGGACTCAATGTGAGGTGTAGAGATAAAAACCTTCTTCACGACAAATACATTTAATTCTAATTTCAATTTCCAATCAATTTGACTCTGATCAATGTAAAATCCGAACAAACTGAACTCAGAATCATACAACATGTCTACACCAACTACTTTATGTCACCCACAATTTTTACAAAAGGGAAAGAGATTAACTGTCCTCACGAAGAAAGTACAAACATTAAACGTTTTACAAAAAATTCTACACAGTGTAGTCTTGGCTCAATCTTGATCAATATAAAATGGGATCATAAATGCTATGAAAAGTTTTGATTTGCACAATTATCTGAGAGGCAGTAGTTATAAGATAATAACTGCAGTGATATAGTAAGAGGCTTTCTCGAGTTGATTGTTTTCGATTAGTGCCATTTTCGTCGATGGAATAACATTTATTGATCAGTTTCGTTGCACGTAACATTGCACCCTGATAGTGAGCTGGCGCAATTACACGGCTAAAGCCATGATGAACGTAAGAAACGTTTACGAATTTTAAGAAGTTCTTATACATATAAAATGGTATACCGAATTTTAATAAAAATTGATTCTCTGATCCTGTCTAGAGAGATAGTGAAAACTTGTCGATTTTAAACGAGAGATTAAAATTGTTTATACCATTTATTACTGTGTTAATAAATTGTCCGACAAAAGAGGACCGGGAGAACTTATTTATTAATTATCATGCGCACAGGATAACGTTGTCAAGGTAAAGGACGTGCTGTTGCTAAACGAACGCGTCTTCTCGATGATAGACGTATGGCCCTTGAAAAAGAGTCAGAAAAGATTCCTTATGTACGCGTCTTATCTCACCATCCATATGGTGATAATGTACATGAATTTGTTCGACGAGTTTGGCAATCTGGAGGCGATGGTGGATAACATAATCGACAGCACAATTGCCACTGCCACGTACGTCATATTGTTCATAATCCGGTTCAGCAAGCAGATGAAACGAGCGATAGTTACTGTGAAACAGGAAATAGCCGAGAGCGAATTTAACGACGAGGAAGAACAGCGGCTGTATTTCAAATATCACAGGATCTCGGATCGATTCGGCAGGTATGCGGTTTCGACGACCGCGACGATAGCCGTCCTGTGGTACTTGAAACCTGGCCTGCAGTTATTGAAACCAAGTTCCGGTATTTATTAGAAAATAAATACATCGTACAATAATGAAATACATTGCAGTAGTTTATAATTAATGGCATACATAAAGTGTGGGTAAAAAAGTCATAGTGGTTTTAAGTCACTTTTCGGATCATTATATAA